TATGCTTTATCATTCTCAATATCACAGCTAAAGAGAATCTATGCATGGCAAGAAAGCAGTCTTCGAATGTGTTTACTTGTTACGAAGGTATCCGCGACAACGTCAGCTACTAGTATTAAAATGATTATATAGCTAAACGTTCGACTGCTTCGATTAGTAAAGGAGTAGTTTATTACCTAGTCGTACTGCCTCAAGTTACAAATCATAAGTGTATATGACTAAATTACTGCAATGCATGCGTAATAATGGTTACGGAAGTAAAAGCAATTAATAAAAGAATAAGAACACCGATTTTGTGAGAGAAGCACCTAAATAAGAAGAGACATTTATATCCCACTAAACACTCGTCCTCCTACATTGTTACACTTACCCAAAAAAGCAACGCATGAACGAGAAGTGGAGAAAAAAACAAGGATATTGGAAGTATCGCGAAGAGTGTAGCGACAAGAAAAACAGGGATATTAATCACTTCCGAAGGAAACAGAAACAGTATTACATTAACAGGTTCCGATGAGAATTAAACGTATTCTACACACACTAGTGTCTAGCACTTACGAGATTTAAGATTTTTCCTATTACTATTCAGGCGTCACTTTATACCACTTTAGCATGGAGTAGAAAATTTACTTTATTACAACATATATGAAATTTAACTTCTCTCCAGATAATTGAGAAGGATAATAATGCATTCTTTTACTATTCTCAGTTTTTATTTAAGTGACACATAAGTCAAGTTGGGAGATACGTGACCAAGTGGAATCAAAGCCTAACTGTCGACAGTAGATTTTCACTTATGTATCAAAAAGTCAGTAAAGATTATTGCATCATGAAATTGTTATGTTTTTACCACTTTCACGGTTGGTGAATATTTCCTAGTTCAAGAAATATATATATATATATATATATATATATATATATATATATATTACTCAGTTTCCAGTACCACTGGGCTCCTTTTATTCATTTGCTCACATCAGATGACCCTTTCGTTTATGAAGTCAAAATCCGACCACTGGATCAAGGGTTCGAATCGCAATCTATCTACCCAGCTCTGTGAAAGCGGGCAGTATCAATAACCTACAAATTTTTATTTTTGATTACAGCTTGATTCCACACTGTATTTTAGGTATAAGTATGGAATTTTCAGCGTGGATATCGGTAGCCCAAATTTCGAAGGCCGACCATAGATATCAGGTGTGCGTCGGCGTGGGCTCGAACTCCGGACCATGTGCATGATCGGCGAGAGTCCTAACCACTGTGCCACCGACGCACAAAAGCTGAGACGACATATTGTGGCTAGTTAACAAGGTCATGTAAATGCAAGTACTTTTTAAGTAACATTTGTTTTTACGCTAGATGGAACAAAATGTCAGGCGGTGTTGAGATCCAAAATAGAATGTTGATTAAGAAGGAGAAGCTTATCGGTAAGTTAGTGAATATTCATCAATTAAAGTGGCTAGATAGTACGTTTCTCATGTTGTACCTTCAATTTTCTTCACATGTAATATTGGCATGAAAAAGTTACGGTGCTGAAAGGTTAGAGGAGGTCAGAACATGTAATGAGTCCATCAGGTCACTAACTACTGCGTTAAGTAATTGAATATTAGGAATCACTGACTGAAAACTCTCGGTTTAAGTGTCCTGTCGTTGAACCACCACATGACTGTCAGGTAGAACATACAAAACAAATAATGTACACTACTGCTTGGTTACTCAAAGTGTTTGAAAACATATTAGAATGGTTTTGAATGTAACACAATTGAGCAGTGTGATACACTAACATGACATTCGATACAGTGGACCTGCGTAAGTACTAAAACTTAGTTACACATATTTATGCACATTTGTTTTCCTTTATCCTTATTTATCCCCAACATCAACAGTTTTTCTTCCCAATCAACATTAAGACCTGTTTTTAGGGCTAAAAATTACGCTATCGATTAAATTAGGGCTACATTAATTATTTGAGCAAATAAGAAATTACCCTTCAAGGCCATGTAGGTGGGTTTGATTGACATTATCATAAGTGAATGAAGGCCAATCGGAAGGGAGTTTGAAATCAGTCTGAATAAGTATGTTGACAAAATCTATGCAAAATAAGAAACGCGGAATAGGAATAAATTAGGTTTCCTCGGAAAGACTGACTGATTTCATTGCATCATAATACAATAAATTGAAATCAGATTTTGTCTCAGATAAGTCTCTGAGTTTACAGTTCACTGATTAACTAGCAAAGCCGACATACTGAGTTAAAGTGACAAGACGTGTGGTTAAAAACCGCTTAGATAGAAAATTTCCTCTTGTTGTGCATAGTTTTGAATACATAAATTCATATTCACGAGGTGGTAGTGGCCAAAACTGTTTCTCGATAACTTCAAAAGAAGGAATGAAAACAAGAAAAATAACCGCCGCTGTATGCAGGATAACGTCCCTGCCCTCTAACTGTTGAAACAGTAAACATTTCACACCAGTTATGGTCATATTTTCATCCACAATATCCCCACCGAGTTGTTAACAAAAATTATGCCACTTAAGAGAATTTTATATGGTCACCTGACACTCATGATTACAGAATGTCATACACTATTAATAAATTGGTTGATTGATTGATATTAGAAGCTTGATATTACTCACATCAACCATGTGTATGCCAACCAGATATTCAAAGTGATCTAAACAACTGACGGTGGTTTCTCTCGTTTGGGGCCAACCTTATCAGTGGTGTAGCCTGTTTGATTCAATTCTAAAAGCCATATCTGTTCGAACCACCTAAATTCTGGCTGGCTTTGTAAATTGCAAATCGTAAATTAATTTCCCAAATTGAGGATTCTCTGATGTTCCACTGTTATATATGAAATCAATCATATTTCTGTGTAAAATTAGTTCAATTCTTAAACAGAGTAATGGACGACATAACCGTGAATCTCATTAAAGAAAAGTATTTCGCTAGAGTTACATATATGTACTTTATCTTATACTCCATGACGGTATCCCAAAGACTGTCAGTATGTGCCTGAAGTGCTTTGTATAAAGTTTTAGGCCCAAAACTGCAGGGTGGACTGTAATCAAAGTCACTGTGCATTGAGTTAAGTGAAATAAATCTTTAATTGGTATTATTAACACTCACTATAGAAGAAATTCGTAGATAGCAAGAACACTGAAACTATGGTGAATTTAGTTTAACTTAAAAAGAAAACGTAAATTTCTTCATGCCTATATTGCACTGTCTAGCTATATGTAAATATTTACTAATAATTTATTTGTTTCTGGCAGTGAATAAATGTTTCACTAAGACTGCAATGTTTTCACACACACACACACTATGCACAATGAGCAAGAGGAGATAGCTGTATGCATATAACTAGTTAGGTGTTTCTTTAATCTCATTGCGTGGACAGACAGTAAGGTATTCATACTAATGACGACATGCACACGTGCAGGATAAATGAATAGGCTACAATGATGACAATATGAAAAAAGATTCTCTTTTTTCTGTCTTTTGCTAAGTTATCTCTGCATAAATTAACTGTATCGCATAGTGCTCACTCTCTAGTAGTGAGTGGAGACCTGGAGACCTTGAACTGAAGACTAAATTCTAATCACTATGCAATGATTTCTACACATATGTAATAGAATTTATGCAGTTAGAAGAACGGATAAGGAAGAGTTTGTCTGTCCATGAATGTCTATATATACACAAGTATATTACTGAAATAAAAGGAAGCTTAGACACCATAATAAGTTTGCAGATAGCTTATTTGTATCTGGCACCAGCTAGATAAAAACTGGAAAAGAGATAGGAGTTGATTATGCGTCTGTAATGATAAACACTTGAAAACCATCAGAGGAAACCTAGTTAGTACCTAAGGACAGCAAATCTTCAGTCGAAATCCAACTGCTGTAGTGAGATACCTCTTGTCTGATTCAGAGTTCATGTTTAAACCCAAAGTGAAAATATATAACTGTTTTTTTTTCAAAAGCTATTTAAATGTTGCCTAAGGTTGAAACGTATTTCCTGAAGAATTACTCAAGTATAAACTGCTTAGCTCAGTCGAAAACTTCTACCTTCAGTGGAAGAAAACGGAATGTGATACGATAGCATTCAAATAAATGTACTTCCCAGATATATTTAGAAATAAGCGTAGCATGTAAATATTCATAAGTCATAAATATTTATTTATGAATAAACAACTATATTTTACTTTCATGTGATTTATAAATTTTATAAAATAAAGTTTCTGGCGATGAAAAAGACGGGAGAAGAGATATGTGCTCTAGAAAGGAACCAATAGATCCACACTGTCCACAGAAATCTACTTTCTTTCTTGAAAGGACAAGAAAGTTTTTTCAGGTGACTGAGAATATACACTAACAAGCGAAACTTCCAGTGTTTTACGAAACAACACAATATACAGTGATTTTATAAGAGTACATAGATTGTTTGCATGTTTTGGTGGCTTAATTACATCGTTTGAATTTTGAATTTCGCTAACAAAAGTGACAACATTGGTGGGGGAGTCAACTTCAGTGCTACTCTAGAAGAAAAGGAGAATTTTCCACAATCTTACCTTGGACCAGATAAAATGTGAGCATTTTATTACTAATATTCTACTTGATTGCTGTCTTGTTGTAGGTCAGGTTTCTCTGACTTTTGAATATTCAATGATGTTAAAACCACCATTCCTTAATTAGTGCTGCCCAGAAGTCATAGTTGGGTTGAACACAAGTAACTGTTCTGACCGATACGAAGGATTCTGATGGGCGTACGAATGTGCATTATAAGTATTGCAAAAAGTATTACTGTATAGTAATTGGAAATATCACACATCTCATCAGTTTACTGGCCAATGCAAAGAGGTAAACAGATGGTCTGGTCAAAAATCATTTCTTTGAGACATTTTAAGTAAAATACCAACAAAGCTACATTTGTGATAAATACACATCAAGAAGACACCGTGAAATAACAATACTGTTCGATAATTAAGAAAAACAAGACTTACTTCTTGGTACAGTGACAACCAATTTCTCTGCACTAGATTCCAGCACTTTAAGCTCTGACATAATTGAACTAATTTCTGTATTAACCACACCTTGATTTGTTAATTCTTTTCTTTCTGTATTATTCAACGATAAACGCAATAAATCCAGATATTCACATCGTATAATATGACCATTCATCGGGCAAGAAGCAGCTCCAACACTTGATTTACGATGCCGTCCACCTTCATATGATATCATTGAATCGCACGATTTGGCTATACAACTCAACTGCAGTAAATCATCGCTGATACTTTTATCATTCTCCTTCGACGGAATTAGTTCAATTTCAGGATAATTAACTGCAGAACAAAGATATTTACAGGCAAAAGGTGAATTTAGGATTCGGGCGAAAATACATAAACATAAAAAGTAACCACTTTGTTTCATCTCTCTTGTGTTTCAAATCAAACACAAGAACACATGCTCATCATTGTGAAACATCCTTATGCACCAGCCGTCTTAGCAGCGAAGACAACGATTTCTACCTTTTTCACGTAGGCTGTTTATCCAATAACTACTGCTAAAAAGTCAGTCAGATGTTAGTCATCATGTGAATGAATACCAGAAAGCGTTAATTACCAAGGTTGCTCATCGAATTCATCTTGATTTTCGGTTTAATTTTAACCTATAATTCTGTATCGTATAGTGAAAATACGGTATTTTAATTAGGCTAATAAGACAAAGTATTGATGAGTGTCTCGGCAGTTGAAGCTCTTTTGTTCAGCTGTGCACGGATAGACAGTGGACTGGATCAATTAGAAGAAAATGATGTTAACAACACACTGAAGTTATATCGCTAAATGTTAACATTACATAACTGTTGATAATTGAAGTGTTGAAGAAAAAATCATTTCTGTACCACATGAACAATCAATTATCTCCTTGTCCTACAGTCCTAAAGGAGATCAATCGCGAACCCGAATAGCTCAGTGGTATCGTCTCTGACTGCAGGTAGCACTGGGTGACGCGGGTTCGAATTTCAGAAAGGACATGAGTTCCTTCATTGTTGCAGAAACGCCTTGCTGACGAGTGCCAACTTGCACGAAACTTAGGTCCAAGGCTTCCTACCGATTGCCTCCAACCATCTACTATCATCAAATATCTCCTTCTCCGTTTAACAGATGACATAGCTGGACACTTAGCGGGAAATTTATACTTCCCGTAAGCAAACAATGCAGTACTCAGTTCATTAAAGTCCAGAAGAGTAATTTTTTATTTTAAGAAATTATTATCTATGTTTAACTGTAAAGTAACTTCAGACCATGCCACTGATTAAGAAAAATGAGCAGTAGGAAAAAGAATGAAGTAGTCGTCGTAAACCCAGGAAAGCATGATAAACTAACTATGCGATAACCTCAAAACAACATTTTGTGTCATCTAAGACCTTATTATTCTTTCATCAGTAGTTTTTTGATTAAATGAAGTCAGTGGCTGTTGCTTCTAATGAACCATTCACTTTTTGAAGCCAAATCCTACACAACTAGCAACCAGTGACGAACTGTTCAGATGTAGACGGGCGTGGAGATCTGTCAATAAAACCTGCAGTGTGACAACCAAGCAAACCGTCACAGTAACTCAAAGCCTTAGGCAAGGAGTTCTGTGCAGCCTCACTAACGATTGCAGGTCGACTCATTTTGCTGTATTGTATCCGGTTAACATTAATGCCTTCAAAGGGATTTGAAAACACTCTGTCACTTTAAGGAAAGAGACGTTTATAACAGTAAGGCTTTCTTGCTAACCCTCTGTCTGTTCATTGAGTTTCTGTGTTTTAGAATGAGTTTCCAGTGTTGAGATTCACTAGGTGACTCTAATAAATTTTTGGAAGAACTTTTAGTGCTGTTATTCCTACTAGTATGCCAGCTTAAAAATGAGATGGATATAGAAGCTCTCATTATGCTGCCTAACCAAATTCAACTTGAAATGGGAGTACCACATGGGGTTTTCACTCCTGCTCATTGAAAAACGATTATACACTAGCTATGTCCAAACCCAAGATTCTTTAACCAACCGTTTCTAAGATCTCTGTTCAGCTTTAAGTGCATTGTGAATCATTGTATCTACTCCTGACCTGGTGTGTGTATGTGATGAGTAATTGCGGTAAATAGTTAACACATGTCCTATCCAAAGTAGCTGTTGATTCAGTTGTTCAAATATTATACAAATTTTAACCAAGACGGTTATCTATCCACGAAATATACAGTACAAAACTTGATTTTATTTTCGAATACGACTTCAGCGTATATGTTAGCTGATAATAAATATGCATTAACTTTTTAATTATTTATCATTTCAGAATAATATTCACCCAGTGTAAATTTACGGATATATTTATGTGTCTATAACTATATAAGTGTTTACACACATCACCTTTGTTTATCTATAGTATTAGTGACAGTAACTGGAGTGAATTTCTCACTATCGTAATCACCAGCATCGTCCACATCAACAACACAATAGTGGACAACATTCATTCCAATTTTTTTCAGTTATATTAATTACAAATTCTAGAATTCGACAATTATAGTGTTTAGCGTTAAAACTGGATTAGAATGACTGTTAAATTATAAACAAATGGTTAGATTTCGATGGACGCGACGACAAGTTATATAAAAACAAGAACCACGCATAAAAAGAGTATAGTTTTAAAAAATCGTCCCCAGATAAGTGGAATTTTTTCATACATTCAATAGTCTTATACACAGAACAAGTTAGCAGCTGATCTGTCTGTTTAGTGTACCAACTGATTGATGAATAACTAGAGTGATTCAGTTGAGAAAATTTCTACACGACATGATGTACAGCAGTGTTGTACCGGCTGATTTTAACACTTATGGAATCTCCTTGAGACTAAGTAATGCTCTACTCACTGAGTACAAGCACGTTTCCATACTTGCACTGATTCGACACGACTGGATAGGGTGGTTTGTTGTAACACAAAGTCTTAAAATGAACACATGGTTATTTGAGTTCTATTTTGATAATAGTGGATGCTTGGTTGTTGGCTTTTTCCCTTTACTTTCATGTAGCGGCTACTGGGTTCAAAACCTAATTCCTCTAATTCAGCCCTGACACAAAAACTGTAATTGACAGCTGATGTCACACATTTGGTGTTTGAAACGTTTAATAGAATGGCAGTACATTCTCTTAGCAACCTGGATTCCATTGTTAGCCATCGACAAGCACATCAATTTTTGCTAGTGTTACAGAATGGCTATTCAAAAAACTTTATGGTTCAGTGATCCCCAAATTGACGTTAACTTCTGTTTAATATCAATGTTGAAATGTCATAAACCCGGACTTATTTTTATCATTTTTTAAAACCTTTTCATTCCATAAATTCAAAATACACTTTTTTTCATTCTAAAGACGATAAAGTTATTTTACGATAAACTTATCCATTTATGGGTAGAGTGAGATCTGTGAACTTATTCAATTAGTAGTACAAATATTAGAGGTGTATTATCATAAACAGATTAATAAATATTTAAAAGTTTTTGTTTTACACTTTCGGAAAACCTAACTTCAATGGACAAAGCAGGAAAAGGCACAGGAAGACAGACAGAATGAGATCTCTTATTTCTTAAATGATACTGACCTGAGATGTGTGGTTACTTGACCCCATAAAATCAACGGCATGTATCATTAATACTAATTTACAGGAAATGAAATCACAGAATCATGTAAACTATCTGAATTATCAGCTAAGTATACCAGGGGAAGTTAAATTCACTATGTTAAGAAATGGTCTTAATCAATTTATCGTACTGTTGACTACATGTGTAGGTTGTGGTTATCATAAAAGCACTTCTCTGAGTTTGATCGTAGAAAATACTTATATGATCCACTAGCTAACTCTTTAGACTATTCTATCAAACCCGGTGCTTCTCGTCATATCTTCAGTCAAACAATAGACTCACCTGTTAACAAAAACATTCAACATTCTGTCTTTCCTTATCCATCAGATATCCCTGCTTAATGTTATCAAGGACAAACATTCTCACCTTTCCTGCAACAGTCTGGCTTTACACATTAAAAGCCACGAATTGGATATCTATCTTCCCAGAATTTCAGATACGCTTTACAAATAAGTGCTAACAAACTTCAAAGCTAAATTCAGGGATTTTTGTAACGTAACTTGTTCTTGCATCTGCTATCGAATCACAGTGCACCACAATTCAGGACAGTTTCGTGTTAAATGATTAAATGGTCAGACTACACATCTAGTAGACAGACTTAGGTTTATGAACTTAGGGACAAACAGACATGCTGACTGACATCCAGTAGACTGTTCCTATGAAATACTAATTTACAATATCAAACAAAAGTGTAAGTCTGCTAAGAGTGAGATTCCAGATCTCCTTCTTACCAGTGACTACGGTAACAGAGAAGCTGATACATACCACTCAGATATTAGGACATAACTGTAAAAATAAATAAACCTATTAAAGTCAGCTTTACGGTGTGTTCTACATAACTGTATTAGTAGTTTCAACAGAATGACACTAAAAAGTTGGACTTCAGTGCGTTTCTGATACTTTACGAGAAGTATATCCAGATTTATTCAACTGATAAAGAGGAATCCTTGAAGATATTACAGTTCTTCTAAGCTTTTTGGATAGATAGAGATACATAGCACCAACGGATCCTTAAAAGCTATTCTGTGCTTAAGGGAATAGATTTAAGGCTTTTTAAAGGAGAATCTTGAATGATAGAAAAACAGTTGATAATCTCAAGCGACAGTTGTCGGTTACAGCTCAGGTAATTACAGTTTATCACTACTGTGTTAAGCTTATGCTCCAGTATCAGAAACAAATGAATGAGCTACTTTTGTCAAAAATTAATGCGCTTAACGCTTGATAGTATTCAGCTTGAGATTATTTCCACAAACTTCAATATTTCACTCGGAAGTGGAGAGCAGAAAGATTCATATCTTTTTCATGAGGTTTCAACAAGTACCACACTTCCTAAAGTATCACTGCAAAAACTATGGAATCAAGCTCAGTGTTAATCATTAGTTAACATACTCACTTCTGTTACTATCTGTGAAAATTTTAAATTCTCCACTTTTGCTTTTGAGAATGTAGAACACAACTTTCACAGTCAGTCCCACCCCACTGACTTCAGTCTAGGTAACTGGACAGTATCATCATCCTTGGCTTAGTAAGCGTGATCCATGAAAGGGCAAATGAAAATGTATTCCGCTTAACTGATATCTGCCCATACCTGTGTGTACAGAAATAACATTATCTTTTCTTTCCTGGTGAACTGACATCTTATGACTCATTTATCACTCTACATT